GAATCTTTCCAGAGCCGTTAGTGACGGACACGCCGGGACCGTAGTAGAGGGAGCTCTGCTGATGGTCCTGTCCTGCTAGGATACACAACTCCTGCTGAGCTGAGTTTGCCACAGGTGGGGGTGGTGCAGGGGTGGGGGGGGGCGGCTTTGTTGTTCTCCTTCATTAGCCTTTTTCAAGGTCTTATCAGGGTGTAACTGTGGAAAGGGCATGAACCGTGGGTAACCATTGTGTGTTCACATTCCAATCCAAAGGAGGAGCTGTTGTTCTTTCCTTGAGATTGATTTTTAATATGAATATCTCCTGTAAAATATGCAGAAAGCTTTTTTCTTCTAAAAAAAAACAGCTTTCTTAGTTATATATTAAGTTATGATTTTTGTCTTAATAATGCAGTCCAAATAAAACCATCACACAAATAGGTGTTTTGGCTCTGAGATGCCTCCTATTTCCCCTATTTCTTGTCTACACTCATCCTCAGACTGTGGGCCCACTGTGCCTTCTCTCAGCCTCCAGTCAAACGCTGGCAAGTCCTCCAGACCTGTCATGTTCTGTCATGTACCGTCCTCACATCTCCAGCAGAACACGTGTTGTAAGTCTGTAAACGGAGGGGGGGAGGCTGACCTCAAACCCTCCCACCCCCACCCCAGGTAAGCACCACCCTGTGGCTGCCCGGCGATTCTCTTTTGTTATTATTTTTTTATTCCTCAGCAGAAGACCGTCGCTGCTGTAAAGCTGGGGAGGGTATGAGTGCCTGGCTGGGAAATATCTGCCAGTTTCAGGATCTTTGGGCTCGTGACTGAAGGAAGCTCGTCCTGCGTCAACATTTTTACCGACTGCTTACGAACATTGAGGGGATCTGAAGCTGGACCCAGCAGTCATTTCAGTGCTTCCATACATCCACCCAGACCAAAAATAATTTAACGTCACAAAATCAGCTGAGCTCTCATTGTATTATATTGGACTGCAGGACATCTGACAAAGTGGTAGATGTGCTACGGGGGGGGGCTCAGGTATTTTTCTTAACTATTCAAATATATGCGTTAGTTTCTGTGAGGTTCACTGGCAATTTACGTCCTTGATATCAGGAAGCGAACAGACAAAACAGTGATTTGTGATTATTCACGCTCTGAGCTGGGTGAAGAGTTTACAAGGCTTCACTCAAGATGATTGATTGATCTACTGACCTTCTGAGGTTTCATTTGTTTATTGGTGTATATACACCGGGATGGTCCCATCGGCCGCTGCATTCATTGTGGGACAAAAAAAACATTCAAAATATTCTGTTGACTTTTTTAGTCCAGAATACATACACCAGCACAAACATAAGGGGAGTGTTAATTCCTAGATTTAATAATTTCTGTACAACATGACTGACCATGCCATTTTAATCAAAGCTGTATGACCGTCTCCAATTGAGCAGATGGAATCCCATAAAAGGCTCATTTTATTTTTACCCCTTTAAATATAAGCATCTGATGAGAGTATCTGGGGGACGAATTGTAAGCAAGCACCGTAATGTACACCATTTAGCTTCTAAATGACACAGCCAGCTGTGCTGTGATGGTTATTATTATTATTGTGCTTTGTAATTTGAAGCATGAGCACCACCTATGGGTGATACTTCTCCTCGAATCATCTACTGGAGGATGATTACCGAAGTTCAAATTCCATAGATACACTCAATGCCATCATGAAAATTAAATTTGAGTACAACCATATTCTTGGTGAACAGGTCAGAAAATATATACGTAACCTTGAAAAATCTATATGTGTGATAGCTGCCTTAACCTGTTTTCAGTTCCTCGTGAAGCACATTTTCCCACACATATTAGTGTCAGCAATGAGTTTGTTGAACTGAAATTCCTAAAACCATAATGTCTCTTTAATAGCTTTCTTGTTTTATATTCATCGTTATGATTTTATAACTGTCTTTATTATTGTGATACAGGATATTTACCATAACATACTAGCTCTGCTTCTCTCAATGCAGTTTGGTTTATAAAAATTGGAAGTATATAAAGTTGCTTTGTAAAAGATTAATATAAGTTTCTTTAACAGGGTTGATTACCAGGGGAGCTCAGAGGCCTCAGCTAAGAGTGTTTAAAACGTATTTTACGGGAAAAATAAAGCGTGTCCTGTTTTGAACCAATACAGGGTGCGATTTGTCCTTTTTAGTCCAGACAGAAAAACAGTTTAATCCAGATAGTGCAATCAACTCACCCCCAAGCATTTTTCAAAATCTTTTCATCCGGGAGACCAACCCCCCCCCCACCCCCCCATCAACAGCTACCCTATAGTACAGGGCCCCCTGACAGCTCAAACAGCCCAGGGACCTCTGATACTGTTAATGCACCTCTGTGATTAATATTGTCTGCAACCTGAAGCTAATGCTGTCTTTCCATCTCTCTACAATGCAGTACTATTACAGAAAGGTGACCATTTAGCCATAACGTGAGGAAAGATCGCCATCTTCTGGCAGACACTGCAAATAGCGACATAACGATATTATTTAAATAAATCCGTGCATAAATGAAAAGAACCTTTGGCCTCCATCTTGGTTAGCATATTTTTCATAAAATAAAAGTATTAAGTATTAAAATATACATTTTACATTGCCATAAAAAATACAGCAGAGACAATGTGTTGACATTAAACTGTACCTATTGCCCTTTGGAAATATAATTGGGTATAAGAGCAGCCAAGGGTTGGATAGCCTATATAATTTATTAATAAAAATATGTATGATTATACATTTATAAACATTTTAAATTAATTTATTTGGGGAACCTGTGGGGAGTGGAATTCCATGGTAGGAATACTCCATTCTAAATAAGGGTTCAGATGCATTTCTCTAATGGTTCCTCACCTCCAGGTTCTACTTTGTCCACAGTTGATGTAATCCACACCACTTCCATGTATGGATATTCTTATTCTGGTCACTGACCTCTATCCTTGCCTGCCACTTGCACTGGACATATTCGTTTTGTTATAGGGATTAAGTCCATGTTTAAATATTTAAAATGTACTTTTTTATTCCTGGTGTCCTTACTCAGGGCAAGTTTTACAGTATTAAATATATTTTGAGTTGTCCATCCGGATGAATCGGTTTCAGGTTAAGCGCTTTCCTCAGCTTGACTTGCACCTGAAACCTTTGTTATGCCATCTCTGCTTACCTTATTGCAGTACTGCTTTTTATGCATGAAATCGGCTCACAAGGCAGTGTCCATTCATCTGTATTATTCTTAATTTGCTGGAGGAGAAAGACACTGAGACAGAAATATGAAGATCATCTAGTTCCACATCGCTGCCCTCTTGGGTCCTGCTTGTCCTCTAGTCATGCATCTTGTGAAAGAGTGGGAGGGTCACATGCATGTCCTAAATACGTGACATCACGGGTTTTTCTTACTGCAGTATACTCTGCTCTTTCAGTATACTCAAAACCCAGACTTTTAGGAGTTTAGGGCCCCTCCCTCTCGGCTAGGCCGCCTGCAGAACCAGTCACAGTGTGAAGCCTTCACATCCCCGGTGCTCATGTTTTCACCTTGTGCCCCAGTTCGAAGCCTCTGCATCGAATGCTTTAAACCTGTGAATTCCTTCAGGGTATGGATTTCACCACCAAGTCTATAAGGAGCCTGAGGTCACAGGCAGTGTCGTCCATGAGCACAGCATTTGAAGTACTGACGTCCTCAGAGGCCTCGTCTCCTGTCATCTATTAGGGTCGTTTTGCTGGTGAAAAGGCAAACCACTCCATCCATTGCTGCTTCTTAAGTACGAAAATGACCACAACCTCAAAAATTGTACAAGAACTACCTTGCAAAGAAGGAATGTGACTGATCCTTTGCTCTAATAACCAGTCTGTCCAGTCTGCTTGGTCCCACAGAACTTGTGTGAGACAGATTGGACAGAAGAGGTGAAGTGAAGCATCCCACAATCACTCTTCAGCTATGAGAATTGCTGCAGAGTTTCCAGACTGTGAACAAGGTAAATCTTCCTAGACAACCATTTAGGCACAATTTTGTATATTGGCACAGATTTGTATATAGTGATGAATGCATAGAAAAAAGAAGAAAAAAAACAAAACTATGAATTTATCACTATATATATATATATAAAGGCAAGTGTACACAAACTTTGTCAAGCCTATACCTCCCTCCAAAAATGTTCTTCTTTCAGGAACAGAACCATCACCACACCTTCTCCAAAAAACGTCTTCCATGCCTTGCAGGGACACTCTTATCTTTCTGCATTGTTTCTGCACAGAGCCTCAGTTTCCATTCCTCATTGGTTTCCTTCCAAACCCAGGTTATCCGCAACAGCGCCATCCACTGGCAGGGCTGGATTAGTTTGCTCTTCCTGCTTCTCTGGGGGGGGTCACTCCTCAAACCAGTTTTGTTTTCCAGTGTTCTTCATCTGTTCCTTTTTCAAACAATCTGAATTACTTGTTAGGGTCAATAGTTCTGAGTGGTAAGAAATTTCAGCTGGCTGCTCACCATTAGTTGTTAGCAAAGCTAACTTTGTGTACAGTATGATCCCAGTAGACTTTAATTGATGTTTACTACCAGTGCCATCACCTCACTGTGCTTTAAACTCACTGTAAGAATGTCCTGATCACAGAAAATAAATGGCACAAGGGTGGGGGTCATTGGTTGTGTGATGACCTATAAAGGGAACCACTTGTATTTGTAACATTGCTCTAATAAGTCGTTAGACTCAGGACATTAATACTGTTTCACAGCATGAAATACTGGTTCAGCATCAGCACTGTAATGTTTTCTGGTTCAAAGCTATGAGGCCCTTAAACCTATTTGCTTGTGTACATTGTTACCAAAATATGTAAAACTATAAAATCAAATGCGGTGGGCATCTCTGTAGCTATCTGTGCCTACTGGTGAACTGCTAAGAAATAAAAATGAATAATAATAGGGGGATTACTCTGCACAATATTACTAGAAGTGAATAGTGGAGGCAGCCAGTCTGGGTATAAAAGAACAGGATCAAAAAATAGAGTGTAATGCTTTATTCATACACTATAACGCTCTGTTTATAACTTACATAGGATATGCAGGTCTGGTTTTTTTGTAAAATCACACGAAATTGCACAGCACTAAAGCAAACCAAAGGAATAAGCACACTTTAAAATTTAGCACCAACATGAATGATTCATGTAGCAGCCTTCCAGGTAACATACCTCAAAACTCCACTGTAGCTACATACACTCTTCGCTTGGTTTTCCTCCAGTCCTGGCTTACATTTATTCATCTTAGAAAGCAGCATCAGGATACACTGATGATAAACACAGAAATGCAATACACAGCAACACACAAGCAAAGCCGAACGCCTCCGCACAGACTAGCATCGTATGGATGGAGAGGCCGTGGAGGACTGAGGCGTCTCCGGTAAAATGGCGAAGCATTGTTCGCGTTTAAAGCTAGCTGGAAGAATTTTGAAAAATCACATGGCAGCTCATAGCTGAAAAACCCTCCAAAACCGTACATAAAAAAAGGGGGGGGGGGGAAACAAACATTGCTACTGTTGAAGTGTTGATAGTGTTGAACCCTGTGAGTTATTATGATTGTTTTTGGAGAAGTATGGAGGATGTCAAAGTAGCTACGTAGGTGCCCCAGGTGTACCGGAATGGCCCGCGATAAATTTATTTTAAAAAATGCAGTTCACGTAGGCGAATGCAGATATCGCACGGAAACATCTAACAGTTTAGTAACAGTACCTGTTTTGTTTAAAGTTAGGCTTGTACCATATCTTTATGATTATACATTGTCACTTTAAAATGGTGGTATATACAAGTGTGCTTGGATACAAAGGAAACATTAACCTCATATATACTGCATATGTTATAAAAAAAACCAAAGTACGTTAAAAATGCTTCCCTCGCCATCTTCCTTGTCACCTGAAAGACAAGGAATACTCAAACACGAAATACTTAATCATTTTTTTCTTCAAATGTATACCATTTTCAAAATTCTAAATATAGTAGTAATAATAATAATAATTGATAATAATAATAATAATAATAAACAGGTACCAGAACATTTTTGTGTCTAAAAACTACTTATCTTACAAATAAAATCATCCACTTGAGTGATTGTTTTCTTGAAATGGGCTGGCGTAGCTGGACACTGTGGAGTCTGTGGCAAGCCTTCAGAAGCTTCTCACATACATCTATAGCCAGAGAAACGGCACGAGGTCCTAACGATGACTGCAGCGACGACTTTGATGTCATAAACCGCATCTCACACTGGCTTTGCGATTCGTTATCTTTCGCGTCTCTATCTTCCTGTATCCAAGTGAGGTCGCCTGTCGTAAACCAAGCAGCTGAGAATAACCACATGTACATATCAGATCAGGTGTGTTGCTCCTGCGTCGGCTTTGTGAGCTTCCCGGCTGATTCCAGCGGCTGTGAATATACTGTATTTACCCATTTCTGCTACTGCTGGGCTGAGGCTAACTGATCTGTTGGGCAGATCTCCTGGTAGGCCGCGTGCCGCCCTGTTACAAGTCTAGCTGCCCTACGACAGTGGTCCCTGCTGGTGAATAAGAGAGGTGACCTGCTGCTGGTGAGATAGGGACAGTGAGCCTGAGCAGTTATGGCTTACTGAGCCAGTAGGGGGTAGCAGAGAGGCAGAGTGGGAAGCCTCTTGGAAAACATCCCAGATACAAGGGCAAGGAACATCTGTGTGAACCTCCTCTGGATTCAGGCAGGAGGTCATTATGTTAGTTTTGTGTATATTTGACAAACAGTTTCTTCTCTATATTGTAACTTCCTCTGAAAGTTGCCATTCGCTCTTACCCCCTTTTTAAAACCAGCCTTTTATCATACTATGATCCCATTGTGGGCATGGTTCTTCACCGCTAACACACAGGCACCCCAAGACGTCTCACTAGGCTGGCGAGAGAATGTTTGTAAAATTCTGTGTGTTGTGTGACAGCCACTGAATTTAACATCTGCAGATTCTATAAATAAAAAGTACTTTTAAAATTTTGTCCTTCCATAAAACATAAAAAAAACAGTACATATGCATTTACCGCACCGTGAATTAATGCTAACGATTGAGGATTCCTCCAGCACCAAAGGAGACTCAGAACTTGGCCTGTTTTAACTTGTCGATGTGGTAGCACAGCTTCAGCGCCGGGCCCAGCTTCAGCCCCAGGTACTTCATGATCATGTCGCTCTTCAGGAGCAGCAGTGCGTAGCCGTCGATCTCCTGCCAGAGATGCAAAGGCGGGTCACCGGGCAGAAGGAGGAAGTCGGCGGCAGGCCAGGAACACGGAGGAGGAACATCCAGGTGAGCAAGCAGGAGCAGATGGAAATGGGGCGGGGGGGGCTCAAGGACTCGTAAAAGGTGGTTAGAAGGGGCCCTCCCCAGGGTGATGTGCTTAATATAGATGGGTCTAGCAGAAGATCTAGCTATATCAATGGATTAAAACATAATATGTTTTTGATCATTATTATTATGATTAATTGTGACGGGAACTAGGATAGAGATGCTGTCCATGCATTATAGTTTAGAATCACAGATTTGGTGTCATGGTGACATACGTGTTTCCTGAAGACCTCCACATGTGGGCCTAGGGCGAGCGGGTCGGCGTCCTTGACGAACCACACCACGTCCTCCACCGTCCAGGTGGAAGGGTCTTTACTGGGAGGGGGCTTGGACTCCTGGGACTCCGGGGAGGGACTGTAGGCTGCAGAGAAGAGAAATGAGCCCATTGAGTCATTCAGGGTCATGAAAGAATTCCTAGGACCCGAGATGAGCTTGGCTGGTGTGTTCAATCTCAGGAGAACAGAAGTGCTTTTGTACCTTAATTTCTTAATAATGTGATAGAGATGGACAGTTTATTCAATAAATATGATTTACAAACACACAAGCAGTCAAAAGTTACCCATGGAAAGGTTTAACTGTACTATTCTCTCATATAGTTTTATAATCAATAAAACTATAACATAACATATATGGAATTATGCCCTTACCAAAAAAAGTATTTTAAAAAATTAATTTGTTGGGTCTGTGGGTTCTCACTCAGAAGGTTGCTGTTTCAAATCCTGTGGTTGGCAGATTGATCCCACCCATAACCACAATTACTCCAGGGGCCGGGCAGCCAGTTTCATGAGGTGGCCTCCTGGGATGCTTTTCCAGCAGTCCTGAAGGAGGTCCATATATGCTGAGCATGCTTTGGCTGCTATTCCTTCAGTTTCTAGTCAAACGTCTCCAAAACCATTTCTACAGTGTCTAGGCCAGTTGGGCAGGTCATGTGATGCAACTCTCTCTCACTCTCCTTTGTAGGTGGCTTGACGTGTTCAAGCCTTTGACTGGTATTGGGTGTGTCCACACACACACACAAAGCTGTAATCTATTAAAGTTGTGTGTATAGCAAGAGAAACAATATGTTGTATTTTATAAAATATAAAATTTTATTGTCCAGCAGGGGTCACTATGAGACACAATGGCTCGATTGGCCTGTCCATCTCACCACTTCTGTTTCCTTCCTGGAAGGTGCTGGGGCTGGCCGTCTGTCTGCACAGGCCTGGGGGGGCGGAGCCTCCTGGAAATGGCTGGCACACACGGTAGCCGTACGGCTTGGGCGGATAGGGTGAATTCATGGTGTTGAAAGCAGAGTCGCTGGGGTCCACCGAATACCGCTTGGAGTCAATCGGGTCAACAAGGTAGTCCTCAGGCATGGAGGTGTCTGCTGTGTGTGAAACGGAAGGTGGGAGGGAAGAGCAGGTATGAGGTGGGGTCTGTATGGTCTGACAGTGTTTCCTAAGCCGGTCCTCGGGGACCCCCAGACAGAGCTAAAACGTGGACTGTCTGGCTGAGAGCTCGGAGGGAGCAAAAACGTGGACCGTCTGGCTGAGAGCTGGGAGGGAGCAAAAACATGGACCGTCTAGGGGTCCCTGAGGACTGGGCTGGGAAGCACTAGTCTAACATACATAAAGGCCTGGTCCTGCTGAGAAGAGCTGCCATTAAAGCTGATGGTTTAGCCAGAGGACTCAAAATGCTATTAGCTTTTTAGCCATATAATTAGATTTTAGCTGTTACAGGATAAAGGAGACAAAGAATGATAGAGCCCAAGCGATCAATGGGTTTGCCGACATCGGTCATGATACCGCATTTGTTTGTTTTTTTGTTTTGTTTTCTTGAATGGATATTAGAACTCATCAATCAGGTCATGTGTGTGCTGATTCATTTAATTTCACTAATAATCTTCGATTTACCTTTTAGTTGCTAATCTTTTCAATGTGCTTCCCATATTTAAATAACCGTATTTTGTGATGATGACCTTGACAACGTTTTAAGCAATTATTAACCAAGCAGATGTGTCTTAATTAACATAAACCATTTGCGGCACTAAACCCCTTTTGGCCTCATAGAACGGTTTCGCTTATTACATTTTCCAGTAAATAGAAGCATAGGTGTACGAGAACTAATGATAGTTTTGTAACTACTATTCTCCTCACCATATTTAAATAATTTATGCTTAACCTACTTAACCTTTCTTTTCTAAACTCATTTAAAATTAAATGAATCATGTAAATGGGGGCAGTGTTTGCGGTTAATTTTAAAAACATGCATGAGCAAGAAAGTTTCTATATTAAGCACATTAAGGCAGGCAGACTGTGCAGTTCAGGTACTTAAAGGCACGACAAAGGTCACATGACCTCCCTACAAGTCTGGTCTTATAAGGTACAATTTGCAACAGAAGCCAATGTTACTGAACTCAACACTATGAAGTGTTTTAAGCATTTCACATATGTGACGGACATGGACTGCATGGGCAGGAGCTCTGCTTTTAATCCCACTGCCCCCCTCGACCCAATAAACAAACGAATGGTTATGGGAATCAGCTCAGTTTGATACTCCTGGCCGCTGGACTTCCTGTCACGCAGATGTCAGGCCATCAGCACAGGTGGCGCACAGGGCTGTCTGCTCTCCCTGCATCACAAATAGTTTGACATCTCAGCGCCATTAAAATCCCAGAATATGTAGATGACGCCATCATGGGGCTCATCTCTGGTAATGAAGAAGCATAATGCCATCTGGAAGTAGACAGAGCAGTGACCTGGTATGCTAACAGTGACCTCTAGTTCAGTGCAGTTAAAATATCTACATCAATGACCAACAAACAATCATAAATTACTCTTTTAAATTCCTGGGAACCAATATCTGCAGATCTCTAAAATGACACATTAACACAGATCACTTCATCACGAAGGCTTATCAATGACTATGACAGAGCATCGTAACAAAGGCCTCTAAGATAACTGGTACTGTCCTTTCCTCAGCTGGATCCCCAAATGTGCCAATAGGATTGACCACAGACACATGCAAAGGCCTCTTTCAGCTACTACCTTCTGGTAGACCTTTTAGATCATTCATGTCCAAAATTAAGAGCAGCCCTCCTTCTGTGCCTTGTCTTGTGGTAGAATTCATTTGCACTGCTTTATCTCTATTTTTGCATTTACTGAGCACCTACTCCACAACTTATTCCATAACCAATATTTGACTTTTTGTTGCACATTTGAACCATACTACTGTGCATTTCATGTTGGGGATCTATTCTGCATTCTGTTTGATCTGTTTATGACACGTAGCCTTATTCTGAATCACATTTAAATTGTGGGGGAAAACATTGTTCTCAATTTTAATGATGAGCATATGAGAAAAATCGTTATCTGTGACTGTCACTGAGAATTTTCCTCAACCAAAATCAGTCACTCACTCATAATTTCTGTTTTGTGTGTTTTACTTTTTTAAATCAGGTTTCAAGTATGTGAGCCACTCTTAATTTTCACCTTATTTTTGTATTATTAAATGTATTCACAAATGCATATTGACTACAGCACTGAATTCCAAACGTTGTTCCCGTACTTAATTACGAAGTGTTACCTTATTCCTGTGTGCAACAAGGAAGCCATCTTTGTTCAACGATCTGGTAAACGCAGTGGCAATTATTTCATGCACTGTATTTGGAAACTGTAGCATTTTGTGTATCTCATTTACTGGAGCTGAAGGGATCTGCGTTACTGAAAAAGAATCTTAGAACGTATTAAACACACCTTTGCTCTCCTAACCCTTAAACCTTCTTATTTAGCCCACCGCTGCTTGGAACGGAAGTAACCATTTGTCAGCTTCACACTATGCTGGGTGCAGTTAATCACGGGTGCACAGAAACACTTGTGGTTAAGAAAATTGTTTGGTAGAATTTCCAGCAGAAACCAAAGATCAAACATGTGACCTATAAGTGAAAACCTCAAAGCAGGGTCCCATAGTCAGTCTATAACACATGCAACATAACCTCCATGTGTCTCTGAGCTCAGACAGTCTTTGTCAAATATTTACTAACTCAGTCCATTTTATTCCAAGGAACAAAGTAGCAAGCTTGATTTTTCATTAATTATCATTTTTGGAATGTATCTCAGTATTGCACCAATGAGAGAATCACTATCTCAGCAGAAAAATAAAAAAATAACAGGAAATTGCTCTGTGCTATGGAAATGATGCTGAATAATTTGTTTTATTTAAGGATGTTGCCTCCATGCCTCTATTAACCCCACATACACACAGAAGAGAACACAGGCTGCAGTCACTAAGGTCCTCCCCCATGGGAACATCGCTGCTGCACAAGCCAGACTTGATCTCCATGGAAACTGCTGCCACGGCAACGAAACAGCAACAGGCTGCAGTCATTCAGGGTCATGCCTGGGTGCTGTCTACCCAAACAAACATGAACTTTAAGGGCACGGCTCTGTCGTCAAACATTACGTAGCTCTATCAAAATACAATAAATTAATTCCCACTATGAATCTTTCAGACAAAAGCCAGGAGGCACAAGCGGAAACATGCAGCTGCATGTGCTGATCTGGAGCACAGAGCTCCATCCCGCATGTGAGCCTGCTGTGAGCCAAACAGCATGAGACAGCAATTTTCTGACTTATGGAGTGGCAGGTCTTATGGCCCACCGAGTTTCACATCATGATTTCAACATCCACAGAGAGCCGGCGATCGGCAAACTGATCATAGAGTGCAGCAAGCCGCGTGCAGGGCACGGCGCATTTCAGCCACGCCGCATTTCAGCCACGCCGCATTTCAGCCACGCCGCATTTCAGCCACGCCGCATTTCAGCCATGGCATGCAGCCCCTTCTCGTCGTGGTGTCTCGCTGACGTGCTAAAGAGACCACAGGGTTCACCATTCCTCATTGCATTAATTACGGTTTCAGATTAAACTTATGGAAGCCCAGGAAGTTTTATTTTAGTTACTTTGTAAGGAAAAAGCATGGTAGCAAGGCTGAATCTCAGGTCAGGGTGTACCGTGATGAACAGTACACGTTTAATCTCAGTACTCTGCTTCAGATCTCCATTCAACTTCAGGAGCCTCTTATGCAGTGCAAGGGCACAGGGTACAAGGCAGGAGACACCTGGACTCTATGTACAATTTATAGACACTAGTTCACCCAAGAATATATTTTTGGACTGAGGGAGGAAACTAGAGAACCTGGAGGAACCCACAATAAATGCAAGAAGAATATGAAAACTCCACATGTGCGATTGCTGGTGGGAATCGAACCCTAGTTCCTGGACTCCGAACCACCAAGCTACCATGTCACTCTCCTGGAAACAGTTTTCATTCCCCCCCAGGATCCTCACAGACTCATAACCTGGACGGTTAAAAAAAAATAGATAAATAAAGGCACCGTGACAGTCATACACCCAAGCATATGAACATCTTAATGTCAAGGGCCGTAATTCACCCAATTCAACCTCAACCAAGAAAACATGATGAGAAATAATCACAGGGTGCAAAGCCTAAGAACCAAACTGGCAGCATTTTTTACTCCTGACAAATGATCAACTCCGGTGAAACGCAGCAAAACGGCTGATGTCAGCAAGGCTAGTAGGACCACTCTGTACACAAAGCTACAGCATCACAGCTATGACCAGTCCTACATCATCCTACGGCACTGTCACTACGCTCAGAGAGCTAATACGACTTACAGGGCACAGTAACCAAAAACTCTCCAGCTACAGTTAATGTCTTTTTTTGCAGGAAAACATCTACAATAGATACATAATACAGTACTAACTTATGGACCGTTACAGCCAAAAAGTATTTATACTCTGAAATTACGTATGTTATAAAGTATAGTTGTATTTTTTAATGTGTATATATCAATGTGTATACAGACGCTCCCTGGGCTACGTCCCGATACACCTATCGTAAGGCGAAAATGTATTTTAATACAGTACACCTAACAAGCATCATAGCCTAGCCTAGCATAAACATGCTTACAACACTTACATTAGCCTGCAGTTGAGCAGAATCCGTAACACAAAGCCTAATTTATAATAAAGTGCTGAGTATCTCATGTAATTTATCGAATAATGTACAGTGAAAAACAGAATGGAATTGGAATATCCATCGTAAAGTCAAAATATCGTAACAAGGACCATCGTAACCCGGGGAGCGTCTGTATATGTATGTACATGTGGTTATGTCTTTATTTTTCCCCCGCAGGTGAACGTGCGAAGGGGAGCAGGAGGCCGGAGCACGTACTGGAGGCCGCGTTGCCCTCACAGCCCTTGTCGGCATGGTGCCGCACGAACTGCTGGTCGCTGAAGAGGTTCTCGCAGTGCAAACTGCGGCACAGCTTCTTCAGGAAGCGTAGCACATAGCCAACACTGTTCACCACGGGCAGACTGAGAAGGTGTTGCTTCCCATCAAATGTGGCTGGAAGCAGAACGACAAAATAAATGATGAAGTGAGTCTCGGGGAGGGGGGGGGCGTTACTGGAAAATACGCACAGAAAATTGAACAGTTTTGCAAAAACATGATTTATGTACGCGTCCCTCCCCCCGATCTGGTAAACAATACAACTTGTTTCTTGGTCAACAGGTGGTGTAGTAGTTATGGACTGGAGCTGCAGACTGTATATTGCAAATTCATCTCTCCAGCGGACTGAAATGTCAGCTGTGAGATCGGTGATTAAGCATGGAATTCAATATTGTGACAAAAAGCATTTAATCGAACACAAAACACTGTTAAGAACGGAAGACTTCCCAAGGTTCAGAGAGGGTGATATTCAGGCACCCATTCATGCTGAGTAACCGCGAACAGCCCAGCTATCTACACGGCGGCCCACAGCCCCCCCCAAGAAGCACTGGGCGTGAGATTGGGTCCATCAAGGTCAATGATTTGCAACTTTCAGCTTTATTTTAATAAATAATTCAACTATTAATAAGAACTCAAATCAATTCAAGTTAGCATTTTATATATAAATAAATCTACTCATATTTATTTTCAAAAATATTGGCAGTTACAGAATGTCAGTATTGACTGAACTTTTAATGTCAGGTGTCCATCAATACTGAATTATCAGGAGGTAGCTATCATTCCTGTAAATATTCATAACAAATCCCCCGTACTGAAACATTAACAAATACATCACTTTAAATAAATATAGAATTATTCATAATTACGTCAGGAAGGACTGGAAGTTCTTAATGAGAAAATGTTAACATCGAGGCTTAAGTTAGCAAGGGTCTATGCTTATTGTTGTAAGATTCCCATGAAGCTAATCTTACAACCCAACAGCTACAGGATAAGACTGCTGCCTGACTCTTAAGACTCGCGGATTTGCGACGGAATTCTTGCGTTACATGGGTGGATTGTTTTTAGCGTAGCTACCAGTTGGCATCTAGGTGCCTAGCAAACCCAGCGGACCTGCAGGACGCAGGAAAGATCCTTTGGGATAGAAATATAAAAACACACAGCTCTCCCATGCCTCCTGCAGACGGCCTTGCATACGGGATTCTAGTTTAATGGTTGTTTAATAATGGCCTCCATCACTGCAACCAATGAGTTTTGTTTAACTACAAGTAGGGCTGTAACGTTACACATATTCGTTGTGTAGCATTCAGTACCTCATTTTTGATTCAGTACACACTATGAAATTAATGTTTATTGACATAGGTGAAACCTAAATTCACAATTAGTTGATATGAGTTGGCTACAGCTGATGTTTGTTTACAGTCAGTCAGAAGTCGTTGATTTGGAAACGCACTGGTTTCCAAATAAATTACACCAACACTGGAGAGAGAGTAGTTGATAAGACCGAGACTGTCTGTCGGCTCTGTTACACCGAACTCAGATATGTTGCTGGAAGCACATCCAATGTCCTTCTGAGACGAGAACATCCAAGTGTGTGTACGACCAGAGCAAGGCAGAGACAAGTTCATGTCCCGGTGGCATCTAATGCACATGTGCCAGGAAATTCAGACTGGGCAAATAAATAAATTAATTAAATTAAATTAAATTACGCCTATGGGGCTGTATATTGCTAAAGATATGTAACTATACTCAATAGTAGTTCACTGTGTTTATGTTATATACAGTGTGTGTGTGTATATATATATGTATAATTTTAATGGTGTACAATTTTTTTTTAATTCAGGCACGTCGATAGACGCACTGCCGTATACAACTGTTTTTCATTGTGTTTGCAGTTTTACCAATAAATTTCAAAACACATCTGGTTTCCCTGCTGTACTGAAACTGCACCGAAGCAGGAACCCAAAACTGAGGTTTGTACTGAACTGTGAATTTTATGTACCGTTACACCCCCTTTTTACTAGGGTAAGAAAAATAGCCTAACATGAAAAACACATAAAAAAATATTTTTAAAAAGTGCATGTAAAAAGAGGCGATTGTGCCTTGGTGGAGTGGCAGGGGGGGTGCGTACCTGAAATTTTCTCGCCGCCGTAGCCCTGCGTGAGCAGCGAGAACACGGCTTTCTGCTGGAAAGCACTGTCAATGCAGCCCTGCACTGCCTGCTGCAGAACCACGGAGGGGCGGTCCGGCCCAAAGTGGTCTGGGAGCTGCTGCACTTTTTTCCTGTCAAGATTAGGACCTGTGTTGGCTTGCTTGTTTATATAAATGCAGACTGCGGACACAATACAAGGAGGGGAGAGAACGCAGAGATATTAGAGGTCAGGCATTGGACAAGAGGCCACAAGTTGCAGCAAAAATACTTAAGAATCATAAACGTGCTACCTTGCTTGTGCATGAAAAATCACACACGGTAATTTACAGATTTACTGGATTACCACTAACAAACATCACCAAAGTTTAACAGCAGCCATACTAGGGTTTACAAAGGGACAGAATGCAATAAGAATGAAAAATTAGTGCAATTCCACTGGGCTTGTCTTGTGTTTACAGCGTTATGAGCTTTACACCAGAAATTCACTAATTTTCACAATTAAGTCGTCATCTATAAGTATACGCCAGCGCTTATTTTAAATCGCCTCTGCATTTTACTTCAGCAACGTAGGAACTGCTCTCACAAGCAGGACAGAAATAAAACGATTAAATAAGTTTTACAGAGATTCCCACAGACAGCAGGGTACTGCCTTGTGCTCCAACTGGCCTCTTAAGTAATTAACCATTTGTTTTGTTAAAACTGCTGACTAAACCAAACAGAGAAAATCCTGCTTAACTCTGCAATGTGATTTCTCAATAATGCAAAAATCAAATGTGTGTAATGATGAAAATATGAATGCATCATCTCAGCTAATAAGGGGTCCTCGGTCATTCTTAAATAAAGTTCAAAAGGTTTACTAGCCTGATCAAAGTCCGATTCAGGATCCAGAATCCAGGTGATTAGTTCAATCAGCAGCTCAATCAAACCAAAAGGCTTAATTATTGCAGTGGGTGCAGAGTAGCGAAAATATAACTAAGAAAGTGTACAAGAGTGCAGGAAGGGAAAAAAATGGTTATCAGGGGAAGACCTCAGTGGAGCTGAAAACATGGACCATCAGCCTGTGAGGACTAGAGATGAAGCTCTTTGTATTTCCACAAACCTCCTTGGGTACAAATTGCCTTTCATACAGACAGACTAACTATAAAGACTAAAGAAGGCTTTAACAGAATGTTCCAGAGAGGCGCCTTGGTGCCCTCCAACAGAGAACACTCACAGCCATACGCGACATCAGAGCGAGATGAGAGGGTAGATGGGAGGGCTGTCGATGAGCCGAGACCCGGCAGCCCATAAGCGGTGAAAGCTCAGGAGAGCGCAGACCCCCCCC